GCTTTTTTTTGTTTCCCCCAAGAGGCAACTGGACTTTCTTGTTTTTCTTTTGAAGACATTTCACTTCTCACCCAAGTAGCTTCTTCAGCTCTGACTGGATAGTGGGGAAATGGAAGGATTGATACTCCTTGCAGACAGCTGGTCATTTGCAAGGAATATAAATCTGCAAGGCATATAAACCCGCAAGAAATATAAATCTGCAAGGAATATAAATCTGCAAGGCATATAAATTCTCCCATTCCCCACCATCCAGTCAGAGCTGAAGAAACTTCTTGGATAGGAAGCGAAACGTCTTCAAGGAAAAACCAGAAAGTCCAGTTGCCTCTTGGGGGAAACAAAAAAAAGCAACTTTGGGGCATCTGTGTTACTAATTTAACAACTGCAGTGATTCACCGAACAAATGTGGCAAGAAAAGTGTTCAAATGGGGCAAGACTCACTTAACAAATTTCTCAATTAACCACCTTAATTTTGGGCTCAATTTTGGTCATAAGTGGAGGACTCCCTGTATGACTGATTTCTAGCTCGTCAGACATCTTAACTTGCTCCTTACCTGACGTACTCATGTCCCCATGAAGCTAAGGGTTCCTGAGATCCCACCAACCGATATTTCAGGCACTCTCGCTCTCCGCTCATTGTCATGGCCAGAACAGATATAATGTCAGCAGCAAAACGCTGTAAGGAGAAAGAGATGTTGAGACTGTATCGAGCAATACCTCTGGCTAAAACTTCTTGAAGCAGAAAGATGCCGACACCTCCCTGTGTTATATTTTGCAGCCTGCCTGAATAAGTAACAACGCTCTATTTATTTTATTTTATTTTAGGGAATTTGTACTGCCGCCTATTCGCACATGGCGACTCAAGGCGGCTTAACGGGAATATAAGCCTCACATAGAAAACAATAAAACTGATAAAGGAATCTCCAGGGATGGCTACAGATCGTCCTAGATTTACAAACATTCGTTTAGTGACCGATCGAAGTTGCAAAGGCACTGAAAAAGGGACAGGACTGGTTTTTACACTGATGGCTGTTGCAGCATCTCCATGGTCACGTGATCAAAATCCAGGTGTTTGGCAACTGGCATGTATTTCTGGCAGCTGCACGGTCCCAGGATTGTGGGATCACTATTTGTAATCTTCCCCGCTGGCCTCTGACAAGCAAAATCAATGGTGGAAGCCAGATTCGCTTAATGACATGACAACTGCCGCGATTCGCTTAACAACTGTGGAACGGAAGGTCGTAAAATGGGACAAAGCAATGCAAATGTTGGGCTCAATTTTGGTCATAAGATTACCTGTACGCAGTAATAAGACCTTCTCTCTTAACAGAAAAGCCACTGGCTTTTTAAAGCTAAAAAAAACCCCTCTCCACTTCTTCCGGTGCTCCCTTTTCAAAGGAATGAGCAACATATTCGCTCTCCTTATAAGTTATAACCCAACTATAATAGGAAGCTTTTAAGTCACATGGAAGGAGCCCTCTTGGGTTCCATCTCACCTGCCACCCATTTTTATTTTCTTCCCAGCAAGGGCACGGCCTGCTTTTTTCAGCTCAATGGGAGTGTTGATCCTCTGATTGTGAAAGGAATGGACCCACCAGCTTGTCACCCAAGCTCGATAGGGGCTTGGGAGGAGAGAGAGTGATGGGACCAGTCACCCAACCGGCTTTAATTGCCTAAGGTGGGACTAGAACTCACAGTCTCCCAGGTACTAGCCTGTAGCCAAAGTGACTCTCACTTGTCACCCATTTTATGTTCTGCTGGTTTATTTATGTATATAGAAATTTTATACTGCTGCCTACTCACACGTGGTGCCTCAAGGCGGCTCACAAGGACATAAAAACACAATATAAAGAAATAAAAAAAATTTTAAAACGAAAAATAATTGAATAACAACCTCCCACAACCTCCCACCCTGGCAACAACACACATTCATACTAGGCATTTAACGGGCTCCATCTCACTCTGGGTTCCCCTGGCCCGCTGAACCTCTTGAGGGCCTTCTGAAAGAGTGTTAGAGTGGGGGCCAGTCTAATTTCTGGGGGAAGATGTTCCAATGAGAGGGAACCACCACGGAGAAGGCCCTTCTTCTGGGTCCCACCAGGTGTATCTCCCTCAGGGATGGGACCCGCAACATTCCCTGCCTCCCTGCTCTAATGGGTCGGGTAGATGTGACCGGCAAGAGACGGTCCCTCAGATAACCTGGTCCCAAGCCAGGAAGGGCTTTAAAGGTGCCAACCAGCATCTTGAATATCACCCAGAAGCAAATTGGCAACTAATGCTTGTTCCCGCAGGAGAGGTGACACGTGCGCACACCGAGGTCTGCACAAAACCATTCTGGAGATCATGTGAAGGTCTACAGTGAATAGATTGATCCTTGAAGCAAAGAAAGTAAATCGGTATTTAGATTTTTGACAACCAGGGACCAATTTGCTAGCTAGCTAGCTATTAGAAAGGACAAAAACAAAAAAAAAGAGAAATGGTAAAGTAGCACCAACACTTCCTCAAATCAATCCAGGCTGGATACCTTGTTTTCCCCCACGGCCATGTTTTCGTAGATCTCTTTCAATTTGCCGTAATGTGGCCGCAGAAACTTCAAGGGCTTGGGTACAGAAGTCATGGAGGTTGTGGAAGAGCGTATCTGCCTGCGAAGTTCCTCCAGGGCAGGACGATAAAGAGCCGTGTCTTGCTCCTGCAATCAGATCGGTTGTTATTAGGAAGCAAACACAAATCGACCTGCCAATCCCTCCCTGCAGAATTGCTGCTCCGGTTAAATATGGCCAGTATGAACCAACTCGTACTTTTGCTATGGGACCTGCACTAAGAGAAATATTTACTAGAAACAGGCATAGCTGTTTTAAGAAGAGTCCTGAGGGATCAGGCAACTGTTCCATTTAGTCCACCATTTTTGGTCACACGATTAAAAAACCCTCCCTTTTTATGATATCCCTATTTGGGTAGAGTCAAGGCAATTGGATGGAGCTGAGCATTTACTGACCAGATGCCCTTCCTGACACCTATGCTGTGTTAGCAACAGATGGTTGTTGTTTTTTTCTTTGAGCCCTAGGAAAGAAACATTTGCTGCTACTAGGATTGAACTCTCAACATCCAAAGTGGGAAGGGAGGGTCTTGACCACTAGGCCACCATGCTGTTCTTGGTCACACAATAGTCAGTCAAAAACAACCAAGAACCTCACAAATGTTAGAAATATGCTGAGAGCTTTCTTCCACGTTATTCTCTTCACTGTCAAATAGGAAGGTATCTAGGCTGCTTCTCAGAAGTTCCTTTAATGAGACCCTCCCTTTTAGGAATAAAGCGTATGGTAATTGTCCCATTTTATTTTGTCCTGCTTTGGAGATCATCTAAGAATGCAGTTAATATATATAGATTTGAAACAAAAAAAAATGGGACAATTACCATACGCTTTATTCCTAAAAGGGAGGGTCTCATTAAAGGAACTTCTGAGAAGCAGCCTAGATACCTTCCTATTTGACAGTGAAGAGAATAACGTGGAAGAAAGCTCTCAGCATATTTCTAACATTTGTGAGGTTCTTGGTTGTTTTTGACTGACTATTGTGTGACCAAGAACAGCATGGTGGCCTAGTGGTCAAGACCCTCCCTTCCCACTTTGGATGTTGAGAGTTCAATCCTAGTAGCAGCAAATGTTTCTTTCCTAGGGCTCAAAGAAAAAAACAACAACCATCTGTTGCTAACACAGCATAGGTGTCAGGAAGGGCATCTGGTCAGTAAATGCTCAGCTCCATCCAATTGCCTTGACTCTACCCAAATAGGGATATCATAAAAAGGGAGGGTTTTTTAATCGTGTGACCAAAAATGGTGGACTAAATGGAACAGTTGCCTGATCCCTCAGGACTCTTCTTAAAACAGCTATGCCTGTTTCTAGTAAATATTTCTCTTAGTGCAGGTCCCATAGCAAAAGTACGAGTTGGTTCATACTGGCCATATTTAACCGGAGCAGCAATTCTGCAGGGAGGGATTGGCAGGTCGATTTGTGTTTGCTTCCTAATAACAACCGATCTGATTGCAGGAGCAAGACACGGCTCTTTATCGTCCTGCCCTGGAGGAACTTCGCAGGCAGATACGCTCTTCCACAACCTCCATGACTTCTGTACCCAAGCCCTTGAAGTTTCTGCGGCCACATTACGGCAAATTGAAAGAGATCTACGAAAACATGGCCGTGGGGGAAAACAAGGTATCCAGCCTGGATTGATTTGAGGAAGTGTTGGTGCTACTTTACCATTTCTCTTTTTTTTTGTTTTTGTCCTTTCTAATAGCTAGCTAGCTAGCAAATTGGTCCCTGGTTGTCAAAAATCTAAATACCGATTTACTTTCTTTGCTTCAAGGATCAATCTATTCGCTGTAGACCTTCACATGATCTCCAAAATGGTTTTGTGCAGACCTCGGTGTGCGCACGTGTCACCTCTCCTGCGGGAACAAGCATTGGTTGCCAATTTGCTTCTGGGTGATATTCAAGATGCTGGTTGTCACCTTTAAAGCCCTTCCTGGCTTGGGACCAGGTTATCTGAGGGACCGTCTCTTGCCGGTCACATCTACCCGACCCATTAGAGCAGGGAGGCAGGGAATGTTGCGGGTCCCATCCCTGAGGGAGATACACCTGGTGGGACCCAGAAGAAGGGCCTTCTCCGTGGTGGTTCCCTCTCATTGGAACATCTTCCCCCAGAAATTAGACTGGCCCCCACTCTAACACTCTTTCAGAAGGCCCTCAAGAGGTTCAGTGGGCCAGGGGAACCCAGAGTGGGATGGAGCCCGTTAAATGCCTAGTATGAATGTGATTTGTTGCCAGGGTGGGAGGTTGTGGGAGGTTGTTATTCAATTATTTTTCTTTTTAATTTTTTTTTATTTCTTTATATTGTGTTTTTATGTTCTTGTGAGCCGCCTTGAGGCACCATGTGTGAGTAGGCAGCAGTATAAAATTTCTATATACATAAATAAACCAGCAGAACATAAAATGGGTGACAAGTGAGAGTCACTTTGGCTACAGGCTAGTACCTGGGAGACTGTGAGTTCTAGTCCCACCTTAGGCAATTAAAGCCAGTTGGGTGACTGGTCCCATCACTCTCTCTCCTCCCAAGCCCCTATCGAGCTTGGGTGACAAGCTGGTGGGTCCATTCCTTTCACAATCAGAGGATCAACACTCCCATTGAGCTGAAAAAAGCAGGCCGTGCCCTTGCTGGGAAGAAAATAAAAATGGGTGGCAGGTGAGATGGAACCCAAGAGGGCTCCTTCCATGTGACTTAAAAGCTTCCTATTATAGTTGGGTTATAACTTATAAGGAGAGCGAATATGTTGCTCATTCCTTTGAAAAGGGAGCACCGGAAGAAGTGGAGAGGGGTTTTTTTTAGCTTTAAAAAGCCAGTGGCTTTTCTGTTAAGAGAGAAGGTCTTATTACTGCGTACAGGTAATCTTATGACCAAAATTGAGCCCAACATTTGCATTGCTTTGTCCCATTTTACGACCTTCCGTTCCACAGTTGTTAAGCGAATCGCGGCAGTTGTCATGTCATTAAGCGAATCTGGCTTCCACCATTGATTTTGCTTGTCAGAGGCCAGCGGGGAAGATTACAAATAGTGATCCCACAATCCTGGGACCGTGCAGCTGCCAGAAATACATGCCAGTTGCCAAACACCTGGATTTTGATCACGTGACCATGGAGATGCTGCAACAGCCATCAGTGTAAAAACCAGTCCTGTCCCTTTTTCAGTGCCTTTGCAACTTCGATCGGTCACTAAACGAATGTTTGTAAATCTAGGACGATCTGTAGCCATCCCTGGAGATTCCTTTATCAGTTTTATTGTTTTCTATGTGAGGCTTATATTCCCGTTAAGCCGCCTTGAGTCGCCATGTGCGAATAGGCGGCAGTACAAATTCCCTAAAATAAAATAAAATAAATAGAGCGTTGTTACTTATTCAGGCAGGCTGCAAAATATAACACAGGGAGGTGTCGGCATCTTTCTGCTTCAAGAAGTTTTAGCCAGAGGTATTGCTCGATACAGTCTCAACATCTCTTTCTCCTTACAGCGTTTTGCTGCTGACATTATATCTGTTCTGGCCATGACAATGAGCGGAGAGCGAGAGTGCCTGAAATATCGGTTGGTGGGATCTCAGGAACCCTTAGCTTCATGGGGACATGAGTACGTCAGGTAAGGAGCAAGTTAAGATGTCTGACGAGCTAGAAATCAGTCATACAGGGAGTCCTCCACTTATGACCAAAATTGAGCCCAAAATCAAGGTGGTTAATTGAGAAATTTGTTAAGTGAGTCTTGCCCCATTTGAACACTTTTCTTGCCACATTTGTTCGGTGAATCACTGCAGTTGTTAAATTAGTAACACAGATGCCCCAAAGTTGCTTTTTTTTGTTTCCCCCAAGAGGCAACTGGACTTTCT